GCCTCATCTTTCTCCCGCGGAGCAGCTGGTAGTTTCGAACCGCTGACCTTAAGGTTCGCAGCCCGATTCGTAACCACTACGCTACCAGAGCTCCTTATTTAATATATATAGAAGCATAAAATATTTGCCCTTTGTGACAGACTAATTTTTACTCAGCACAATGTTTTCAAGGTTTATCCATGTTGTAGCATATATCAGAGCTTTGTTTCTCTTTGTGGCATAGAAATACTTGATTATTTAGTATCACATTTTATTCATCCATTTCATCTGTTAATAGACAGTTAGGCTTTAACTACCTTTTGGCTATTGTAAATAGTGCTATAGTGACCATTGGTGTACAAGATTGTGTTTCTGTTTTCCATTAAAAAATGACTAAGCTGCAAAAGTAAAATGAGTTTTTCTGCTTTCTGTCAAACAGTTTAGTCAGAAAAATTATGTCCCAAAATACTTCATCAACCTTTGATACACTTTTTGATTTGGTGTGAAGAATTTGCATAGAGTTGTAATTGTATTCTAAAATTTACAAAATCCGATAACATCCTAATAATCTTTGCTTTAATAGTTCAGAGTGAGATGTAAATGAAGCCATTCTTTTGCTGTTTACTTTGAAAAATTTGTTTTCATTTTAAAGATACCATCTTTAAGAATTTTTTTATTTTAATTTTTAATCCTGAAAACAGTTATCGTTGAACAAACAGGATTTTCTCTAAATACCTGTAATTATCCATCTCTCTCTTCTACTTAACTGAGCCTTCTGAAGCTGGGTACCACCTGTATCTTTCTTTTCTAGGCCTCATATCTAGTGATATGCCAGGGACTCAGTAAATGACTATGCAATTAATTAAAATTAAGATTGTGAAGACCAGGTTGTTGTTGTTGTTGTGAAGTGCCATTGAGTCGGTTCCCATCCATAGCGCGACCCTATTCAGGTAGCAACATGGAAAAACATGTAAAAGTTAGAGAACAAAATACAAAATTGTATATATGCTGTGGCACTACTTTGTAAAAGTAATGTTAAATGCTGTCAAGTCAGTTCCAACTCATAGCATGACCCCTGTATAGGGTTTCCAAGGAGCAGCTGGTAGGTTTTAACCACTGACCTTGAGGTGAGTAGTCCAGTGCTTTTCCTTCAGTGCTACACCAGGACTGCAAAAGAAATTATAGGTTGAAAGAAATACATCTAAGTAATAATGGAGTTTGTGTGGATTTGGGTAGGTTGCATAGTTTGAGTGGGATTGTTGGGGTGATGTTAGCTAAAGCCTCAATTCTTTGATATGTTCTGTGTATCTTTGAGGACTCCTAATATGACACTGTAGGATCAGTACTGGACTTTGAATTACCGATTGATGGTTCAAATCCACCAGCTACTCCAAGAAACCCTGTGCAGGTCACTATGTGTCAGAGCTGACTTGATGGCACTTAACAACAACATATATCTTTAGTGGGGGAGAAAGCAACAAAAAAAACTTTAGAATATAATTTAAAAGTCTAATGCATGAAGCTTTTATTTTAGTTATTTTTCTGACTGTGAAAGTAGCTTCTAAAAATTTTGTAAAGCAATTTATTTCGAGTCTCAGCTTTCTAAACTCTGAAAAGATACTCTAGCATATTTATTTATTTAACTTAAAAAATTTTATTTATACAAGACATTTGCCATTTCAATCAGCATTTTAAAATAGTGTCTTCGTATTTCTCTGAGTATATTTTATAGAATTGAGATAAACTTTTAAACTAGTTTGAAATATTCTATGTGTTGGTGAATTTGGTATGCCAAAAAGTAGCATTCTGATTTGTCTACTTATGAATGAGCAGTTTTTGTTTTCTTTTTTCAAATTTCATATTTGCTATCCCCTTAATAGGGTTACATATGGAAGAAACATGATATCTAGAGAGAATATCTATCTGGGGTCTTGTAAAGAAATGTTTTATGGGAAGGTTGTAGAGCCCATAAATTCATCTTTTCCCAGAATTGAGTACTTCATGAGATTTCTTAACTTTTCTCCACAAGTCCAGGACACCTTAGAGTTTACATCATTTCTTGCAGAGGGTGTTTTAAGGTGCAAAGTGAGGTTAACTTTGCGGCTCTGTCAATTTAGGAAAATGCTCTAATTTGGTTACATGTGTGTACCGGAAATGTGTTCTTTGCTATCTAGCCTCTTTCTTAGAATAGAGGAGATGCTGATGTCACTAAGTTGTTGTATTGCAAACCTGGGAAAATGTAGCTTTCTGTCCATTTTTATGTTAAGATAATGTGGATAATGCTATTATATTTTGGTTCTAGGTGACGAGACCGCTGTGTGGCAGGCCCTGACTCTGTTGGAAGAGGGATTAACCCATAGCCCTTCCAATGCTCAATTCAAATTGCTGCTTGTTCGAATCTATTGTATGCTGGGTGCATTTGAACCGGTGGTGGATCTTTACTCCAGCCTTGATGCTAAGCACATACAGCATGATACCATTGGGTTGGTAGTATATACTCTGAATAATGAGCCGTCAGCTACACCATGTAGAGTCCTCATATATGGAACCTTCACTTATAGGTCTTAGCAGTAAAATTGTTCCTAGTATTATTCAATTTAGTTTAAAAAATCCTTATTTTGACCTTCTGCAAAACAAAAAAAAGTTTAGGTCTCTTGGAATTTACATTGAGTTGATGGCAGTAGGCTTTTATTTATTTATTTTTAACATTTTGTGAGGATTTTCACAATTTAGAAATGGTAGAAAAAGGTTCCTTCAGAAATAGGAAACAGCTTTATACTTTGAGCCCTCATTCTTAACATTCCATATTTTGAAGTCTTTTCTGCCTTGTACTTGAGGTTGACACATGTATTTTATTTTGCTGACTTCAGAGATCCCTCTGAATTTGTATTTTGACTGCTCTTTGTGATGAATGAAATATGGGCATTTTTCTGAATCTCCCGTGGTGCTATTTCAGAACGACAGTATTATGTTCTCTTATGGTGTATGTTCCATCACTCAGTAGAGTATAAGAAAGCATGGCGTAGAACGTCAGGTCTTCCACAAAGCTGGGTTAACTGGGCATGCTCTCTCTCTTCAAATTAATTTGATTCTATGGATTAGATCATTTTTGTGGCAGGGTATTTACATTGTTCTTTGCCATAGTAATTTCAAGTGTAGTATTGGCTATTAGAGTGGATAAGTGTAACAGATTTGTTTTTTCCTTTTCTTTCCTTCCCCACTTAGATACCTTTTGACCCGATATGCCGCATCCTTAGGTCAGTATTCTGCGGCATCCCAGTCCTGTAACTTCGCACTCAGGTTTTTCCACTCCAACCAGAAAGATGTAAGTGACTTTTTTTTTTTTTTTTTTTAAATATGGTCATGCCTGCTCAATGCACATGATTCAGAAAGCATCTTACGTCATGTCACAGGTGCAGACATGGAGGTGCACTATGCTGTCCTGGCATGTGTGCCTTTAGGCTGCTAAGTAGAGGTGTGAAGAGTTATTTCTTGTGTTACATTGGGTATGCTTCATGTTGAATTGGCAACTGTTGTGCTTATTTTTATACCATCAAGAAAAAACCAGAGGAAGCAGATGGATATATTTAATAGAAGCCTTTAAAACTGGTTATTAACAGAGTAGGAAGAATAGGAAACATTCTTCCTCTTAGAGCTGTGTTTGGATCTCTAAGGAGTCTTCCCAAGAGGATAAAAAATAGCTCATAGAGTTTATATTTAAAATGCTGTAAGACTCTGCTCCTTGTTAACTTTACTTATTTCTGAAATTTGTAACTACAGTGCTCTTTGCCAACAGTGAGTGCACTTACTTTTCTTAGTAGTATAAAATTGAGCAACTGAAGGTCATTTCAGGATAGTTTGGTAATTGAATAGTATATTTTTAGACGTTGAATAAACAGGTAAAGCTTCTGTGTGCCATAATAAAAGGATGGGATTTGCGTCATATTTTTCACTGCCAGCAGACTTGGACTACCCTTGTGAGTTAAACAGGTTTTTATGGAAAAATGCTTTAGTCGCTACTTCAGTCTCTGTCAACCCTGGACACCAACTACCTGATCATTGATGTGTAGAGAAGGAACATTTCTAGCTTGGTCATTCTGCCTGTTTTGTTGTCAGATGCTTCTGAGACTCATCCCCTGGAATTCAGTTATGCTGCATATCTGCCCCATAGCTTTCCATTCTCACAAGCTACCAGCTCCCTAGAGGAACTGGGCAAGTGAAATTGGTTTCTGAGATTCTTCTTGGCACTCATGAGAATTAAAAACAAAAAACACATTTGTAACTATAACAGCTATGGCGAACCTTATCTTCCAACTCACTCACTACTGTCAAGTCAGTTCTACCCAATAGCAACTCTTTATAGGATTTCTGGGACTATAAATTTTTATGGGAGCAGACCACCTCATCTTTTTCCCTCAAAGTGGCTGGTGAGTTTTTAAACTGCCAACCTTGTTTTAGCCCCGTATCTAACTCACAGTACCACCAGGTCTCCTTTAATTCTTGACAGAATATTAAATAGAGGCAGGGCAGAGTGCTTCTGAACAGTGGCATTTTATGGACTTACTGTTCTCAGCACTTGTTACTTACCATCTGACAAGCTTCAGGGCATGGTCTAGAGGGCTACAGTGACAAAGGATCCCTCTGAGTAAGTGACTCTTGTTTCCCAAATGATTGGTATTGACTTAAGACCTTTTGTACCACCTCTGCTGGTCAGGGAGATAGGAATGTGGGCATTAGCATGAGGTTGAACACATTGCTCAAGAAGTGCTAGTCTGGTTTGGGTAGTGTGATTATATATCTGAGAGTGTTCACCATACATTCTGTTATCTGTGTTTGTCCTCCCTGATTCTCTAACAATAGGATAATTCATTTTAATTAATTTAGAAAGAAATCCAGAAGAAAAGTCCTCTTCAAATCTCATTATTCTGGCTCTCATTTCTGTAGTTAGCAAAGAATGGTTTATTGAAGAATTCTTTTGTGAGTTTTTTTCTTCACCTAGCTTTGAGATGTTACTAAGTGCTATTGAGTCATTTCCGACTCATAGCAACCTTGTGTAGGGTTTCCGAGGCTTTAAATCTTTTAGGGAGCAGAAAGCTTCATGTTTATCCCACAGAACAGCTGGTGGGCTTGAACCACAGACCTTGTGATTTGCAGTGTAGTTCTTATAGTATGGAGCTTTGAGATAGTGGGATGGAGGTGAGAGTTATGGGATTTATTCAAGCTTGTTGACTGTTATCACTCCAATTTTCAGTCAACCAGTGTTCTAGAAGAACAGTATTGTTCGTGAAGACTTGCATCCCAGGAGTGACTTGCTTGAGAGGGCATGTTGTCCTCAGTGACTGGTGGTTGTGTGTGTTTACCTGAGTGTATGTATGTGATGCTGAACTTGATGATGTAACATTGTATTGATCTGGAACTAACCTCTGCTTGAAATTTGTTTGTATTACTACTTGCTAAGAAGATAGAAGTTATTTAATCTTGTTGTTGTTGAGAAGTGCCGTTGAGTCAGTTCCGACCGATAGCGACCCTGCATGCATAGGGTTTCCGAGGAGAGGCTGGTGAGCTTAAACTATCGACCTTACAGTTCAAACGGCTTTGCAGTCTGGTGCTTTAATCTTATTAGGGTAATCATATTAGATCATCTTGGGGAAATGGGGAGGAATCCTGGGAGAGAAGCAAAACACAATCTAGCTAGAGAAAATGTGCCCCCTTGGACTCAGTGCCATAAGAAGCAAGGAGACCTGTGTGAACTGTTTCCTGAAGAAACCAAGGCTCAGAAAGAACGCAGGTGTGCGGTGTGCTGTATGTTTTAAACTTTTTACTCATAGTGGTAGAAATATCTCTCTGGAAAGTGAATACGTTTTATTCTTGGTACTTTTTTGGATCCCCAGGTGCTTTTTCCTGGAGTGACAGATGTATTTCATTTACAGTAAGCTATTTCAAAAATACTTTTAACCCTTTGCAGAGAGAGATCTGGTATTCTTTGTAAGACTTTGTGAGATGGAAAATTATATTTGGAAGATCTACATAAGGGTTCCTATCTGGACAGGTCATTGTCTGCTGTCATCTGAATAGAAGAATTAGAGCTAGATTCCCATAGCTCTAAAAGTTGTTTATTTGTTCAAATAAGGAGGCCTCAAAAAGTTCGTGGAACGTTTGGAAGTTTGTGTCATTTTTGAAAGACCCCTTGTACTATTTTCCCCCTCTTTGAAAGTCTGTTTTAGGTATTCATCAGAATCATCATTTGGGGATTTGATGTCCATGTATTTTGCTAATTTTTACAGTGACCAGGGTTCATTTCAGGAATCTCTATGGGATCTAAACTGCCTTATTGGTGCACAAATGAGTAGAAATAGGTATGGACAACATACTCTGATATTCAGAAATCTTAAATGCCTTTGGCTTCCAGTTTTGCCTGCAGTTCCATTATGGGATAGCGTCTTCAGTTAGTTCACATTGTCATAGTGCTTGTCCTGTATGTTGCTTCTTGGGTCCTTGTCTTGTCTGCAATGGCACTCTACTGCAGCATTAAAGGAGGACAAAATTAAAAAGACAAGCTAGAGAACTAAAGTTACCTTCTTAGTTTGTTAAAGGATGATATTCCTTCTTTGTTGCCCCTTAATTTTCCTTTAAAAGCCACTCCTTTTCTTTCCCTTTCTTTCTAATGTGGTATATTCACGGGACCACTGAGAAATGGGAAGTGCTTGGATACTTGGGAAAACTTGCTTCTCCCTGAATCCTAGCATATTTTGGAGCTGTAATGTATACTTTTGATGTGTTCATCCTGATTAATTGCTGAATCGTATGTTCCTAACCAACTGGATTTTTCAAGCTATGAGTTCCTACTGTGAGGACTGATAGCAAACCTTGCTATGTTTTCCAAGCCATGGGGCCACAGGATAGGCATATGTGTTTAGAGCATCCTGGCCTTTTCTTGATGGGGCATATCATTGTCCTTTAGTCAAACTAGAAGGTACACTCGAGCTTTTTCGGATCGTCCTTCTTTAAACCTGCAGGATCACAAGTAATCTTTTTAATTTTCTTGTGTCCGTCCGTCTTTAATTTCTCCAGATACTGCAGGCAAACAGCTCGCCGAGGTGTCCCGTGGGGGTTTAAAAGCCGCATCGAATGCAGTTGAATTAGCGCCCGTGGCGCAATCCCGCGGCCTGAAATGAACCCTGCGAGGCTGTGTATCAGAGGGTATGTTGTTGACTATTAGCCTATTTTCCTACTGGGCAAATTATTCAGACATAATGGAGATGGGGACAAACTTGACTAAGGTTGTACAAAAACACTGGCTCTTCTAAAGAGTATCCTTGTTTGGGGCAGACATCAGCTTTGAGCTTCATACTTCCCTTGGCCCAAAGGGTTGACCTCCTGTCTTCTGATCCTGATGGTATAGGCCCACACCCATGAAATATTCTTCTGAGATTTTCTTCTGTTGTGCCAGAGTTTCTGTTTATATTTCTTTGTCTTGCCTCTGTTCTCCATTTCATCGGCATATACGTGTTCATCTAAAATTGAACACATGTAGTGAGTGCAACTTCATTTGTTCATGGGGATTCGCAACAGAGGTCTTACATAGTTTGGACAGACAAGAAATCTGGTTCTTGGAGTCTTTTTGTCCTCAAAATGGATAATGACGTGAGTTTTTGTAGGCCTTGTTTAGTGTCTTTACCTCTATCCTGATGTAGTGTCCTTATGTTCTGTGTCTGTGTTGCATATTCAGAAATATTGAGAACCATGGAGCAGCTTGTCTCTTTCTGAAGGAAAATGGTTTCTGTTGTGGGGTGATGGTTATATTATTCTGGTATTTTAAAACCTTTGTTAATTACAGATTAGATGCAGAAAAACATGGAATAATATTTGTTCCATAATGGTACTAACTTAAAATTTGATTTTCATGGCATAACAAAATCTCCAGTCTTGTCAAGTTGAAAGGTGTGACTGTCCAGAGAAGGTCTATGTGATGGTAGCAGCAGCTGAGAGTTACATTGGTAATATTAGTAAAGCAGAAATGTAAAGGGGAAAAAAAGGCAAATAACATTTTAAAGGGTGATAATCTACTTAGTGACCAAGACCTTTAAAGATTAGATTCAAGATCTTTTACTTAAGCTCTGGGTTGATTTTATTTATTGTTTAATTTTGTCCTGGCTGGCAAGGTTTGCTTACATTGCCTGAACTTGTGAAATATTTATACCAAGGTGATATCTTTCCTTCCCAGACCTCAGAATATATTATTCAAGCTTACAAATATGGTGCATTTGAGAAGATCCCAGAGTTTATCGCTTTTAGGAACAGACTGAATAATTCTCTTCATTTTGCGCAAGTCCGTACTGAACGGATGTTATTAGACCTTCTACTTGAAGCAAATATGTAAGTATTGCATCAGAGTAGAAAAGAAACTAAGGGATTAGATCAGATGCTGACAGCCATTAGTGGGCCCAGGTGTGTCATTAGCAATATAAGGACAATGGGAAGGAGAAGGAGAAAGAAGAAAGTGGAAAGCGCCTGGTGCCTGTGGTGAGGAATGTTAAGAGTACTGCCAGTATACCATCTCAGTTTTCATATAGGAGCTATCTCACCAGTGCTGAATGCCATCAAGTTGATAATGACTCCTAGCAACCTAGTGTAGCGTTTCTAAGGCTGTAAATGTTTACAGGAACAGAAGATCTTTCTCCTGTGGTTAGCAGTCTAGTGCTGATCCTACAGTGCCACCAGGACTCTTTAGGTCATGGTCATTACTCCGATCCATACTCAGTTCACAGCAGGTTCTCTGTTTTGTACAAAACATGTGCTTTCAAGAATTAATGCGGTTCCACTTTCATTTGGTTGGGGTGCCAGAAGCCTTTATAGTGCTGTGTAGCTAGCTTGCCCACATTACCTATGATTGGTTCTTGTTCACCTTACATGAGATCATGTCTCTACTTAATAGGAAGCCCATCCTTCTTCTCTGCCTTCCTCTCTCCCTTCCCCTCCTTCGAGTAAAGCATAGTCTTGGCAGATACATTTCCATGGCTGTTTTACTATTGAGATAATACAGAAATAAATTCTCTGTATCACAGATCAACCAGCTTGGCAGAAAGTATAAAGTCAATGAATCTTAGGCCAGAAGAAGACGACATTCCATGGGAAGACTTGCGAGACAACAGAGACTTAAATGTTTTCTTCAGCTGGGATCCAAAAGACAGGTAACGGAAATTTAACACTGGGGGGAAAAAAATTAGGATGGATTTAAGATTTAATGAAAAAAATATTTTTCACACATGTATAACAACATGTTTGTTGTAGACACTAGAAAATATAGGTAAACCAACCCAAAACAGCCATCAAGTCACTTCCAACTCATGAACCCTATATAGGGGTTTCCAAGGTTGTAAATCTTTATGGGAGCAGAAAACCTTGTCTGTCTCCTGAGTAGTGGCTGGTAGGTTCGAACTGCTGACCTTGCAGTTAACAGTCCAGTGCTTGTCCGACCAGCACCACCTTCACCCCTGTGTTGGGACTATTGGTTGATATAAAAGATCCAACTTCATAATGTACATGTAAACAAATTCCATATACTGAAAACTCCAGAAGAAAATATGAGAGGACCTCAAAAAGTTCATGGAAATATTCCATTATCTTTTTTTTTATTTTTAAGGTTTTTAATTGTGGATTGAGTGAAAGTTTACAGGGTAGATCATCAGTTTTACATTCAACAAATCATATACCTTGTTTCATTACAATGATTATAATCCCGTCAATGTACCATCAGTTAGCCATATTTCTCTTTATTCATTTTAGCTTTTAAAAAAACAAACCAAAAAAACCCCACAACACTCAGGCATATATAATAATTTATACCTCTAAAGGGCACATTCTGCAATTCAGCTTCCTGGCCACCAGCTTTTAATCCCTCTCTTTCCTTGAATCTAGAGTCCTCAGATGCTCCCCCTCTCCATGACCCCATCTCTCCCTCTGTCTCTGGTGTGTTGCTTCTCTGGATAAGGTCCCACATTCTGCTTGTGCTCTGCAGGAAGCCTCCTTGACTGGACATGTTGTAGCCCCATTTTAGGTATTCTAATCAGTTATAGTCAGAAGACAGACTTACAAGCTTTCTATGGTGATATTTCTGGGTATTACTTTCTCTACCCCTCTAGTGTCTATTTTATAATGGTATACCAAAGAAACCAAGATTCAAAAGACAGCCAAGCATCTTAACATTATTTCCCCCCTTTTGCCCATTCCAACCATGTCACAATCCCTGTATCCCAGAGCCGTGTTTTTCCAAGGTTGTGCATACATCAAGGTTGTGCATACATCATTTACCTCTGTCCCATGAAAACCTAATTTTTTCCCATCAGCCTTGTTCTTCCCTTCTCCTCCCCCCTCTTGTGTTTTGCCCCCCTTCCTAGCACCCAAACTATCCTGTGTGTATTCCCTACCTTGATCACCACCTTCCCCTCATGACCCCGCCACATCCCAGTAACCAGCAAAGAATCCCTCCCGCCCCCCAAACCTTTAGTAGGGTTCTTTTTCTTAGTCTTTTACAGTAGTGGTCCTATGCAGTATTTCTCCTTTTGTGACTGACTAATTTCACTCAACATAATGTCCTCAAGGTTCATTCATGTTATGCGGTGGCTTGCAGCTTCCTTGTTATTCTTCAAGGTAGCATAATATTCCATTGTGTGTATGTACCACAGTTTGTTTATCCATTCTCCAGTTGATGGGCATCCTTGTCTGGTTCCTGTTCACAGAGGGAAGGGTTTCAGTTTCTCTCCATTGAGAGTAATGTAGGCTGTTGGTTTTGTATATATGCTCTTAATTATATTGAGTAATTTCCCTTCAGTTCCTACTTTGTTGAGTGTTTTTATCAGGAATGGATGTTGGATTTTGTTAAATGCCTTTTCTGAATCAGTCAATATGATTATGTGGTTCTTTTCTTTTTTCTTTTTTATATTGTTCATTTTTCTAATGCTGACCCATCCTTGCATCCCTGATATGAATCCCACTTGATCATGATGTATTATCTTTTTGATGTGCTGCTGGCTTCTGTTGGCTAGGATTTTGTTGAGAATTTTTACATCTATGTTTATGAGGGCTATTGGTCTATAATTTTATTTCTTACTGATGTCCTTTCCTGATTTTGGTTGTGCTTGCTTCATAAAACGTATTAGGAAGTTTTCCATCCTCCTCTATATTCTGGAATAATTTGAGAATAATTGGTGACAGCTCTTTGAATGGTCAAACTCACAATTGAAGCCTTCGGGGCCTGGACTTCTTTTGGTTGGGAGTTTTTTGATGACCTGATCAATTTCTTCTTTTGTTATGGGTCTGTTCAGGTTTTCTACTGCACTCTGTGTAAGTTAAGGTAGGTCGTGTTTTTCTGAAAATGTATCTGTCTCTTCTAAGTTTTCAAATTTGTTGGAGTACAACTTTTCATAGTATTCTGGTATTATCCTTTTGATTTCCTTTGGTTCTGTTGTGACATTGCCTATGTGATTTCTTGTTGTTGTTACGTGCCGTGGAGTCGGTGCTAACTCATAGCGACCCTATAAGGGTTTCTGAGGCTGTAAATCTTTACAGGAGCAGAAAGCCTCATTTTTCTCCCACGGAACAGCTGGTAGTTTCAAACTGCTAACCTTGCAGTTCACAGCCCGATTCATAACCACTATGCTACCAGAGCTCCTTATGTGGTTTCTAATGCGTATTTATTTGTGTCTTCTCCCTGTTTTCTTTTGTTAGGTTTGCCAGTGGTCTGTCAATTTTGTTAATCCTTTCAAAGAACCAGCTTCTTGTCCTGGTGATTCTTTCTGTAGTTTTTCTGGTTTCTATCTCATTTATTTTTGCTCTAATCTTTAGTATTTCTTTTCTTTTAGTGACTCTTAGTTCCCTCTGTTGGTTTGTTTCTAATTGTTGTAGATGCTGTGTTAATGTGTTAATTTTGGTTCTTTCTTCTTTTTGTAAATGTGCATTTATTGCAATAAATTGTTCTCTCACCATGGCTTTCTCTGTGTCCCAAAGATTTTGGTATGTTGTATTTTTGTTCTCATTTGTTTCTAGGAACTTTGTGAGTTCACGTTTAATTTCTTCTACTACCCAGTCGCTTTTCTGCAGGGTGTTGTTCAGTTTCCATGTATTTGACTTCATTTCCTTGGTCTTTCTATTGTTTATTTCTAATTTGATAGCATTATGGTGTGAGAAGATGCTTTGTAGTATTTTGATATTTGTAAATTTATGGAGGTTTGTTTTGTGGCTAAGACATGGTCTATTCTGGAGAATGTTTCATGTGTACTGGAAAAGAATGTGTATTTTATGGTTGTTTGATTGAATGCTCTGTATACATCTCTGAGGTCCAGTTGGCTGATTGTGTTGTTTAGTTCTTCTTTGTCTTTCTTAAGTTTCTTTCTGCTTATTCTATCCATTATTGAAAGTGGTGTATTAAAATCACCTACTATTATTGTAGATTCTTCTATTTCTTTCTGCAAATGTATTAGAGTTGTTTTGTATGTTTTGGAGATCTTTCATTGGGAACATAGATATTTATTATGGTTATTTCATCTTGTTCAATTGTCCCTTTAATCATGAGATAA